GGCCGCTTGGCCACCGCATCGCGCAGCGGGCTCCCAGAGAGCTTGCGGCCTGCCAGACCCTCTTAAAAGAGCACCGTGTAAGAGGAGCCCCCCCAGGGTGGGGGCAAGCGGATGCGCTGCTCATTGTGGGAAGAAGCAATCTGTCTCTACCATCGTTGGAGCCTCAGGCGGACTCCGAGGCCAGGAGCGCCTTCCTGCAGCTGGGCTTCGTGCACCAGCTGCGCCCCCCAGGACAGGCAGAGCCGGGCCAGGCGTCCCGGCCGCTTGGCCCGACTGCTGCGACGTGCTGTGTGTGGGGCTGCCCTTGAAGACGGTCTGGAGGCTCAGCCGGAGCAGAGCAAGGCAGCGCGGCGGCTGACGCGAGGCAGTCCCGATCCCACCTGCCCCCTCTGTGCCGGTTGCATGGGCTGCCAGTCGAGCCCAGCCCGGCTTGAGCTCCTTCTCCCCAAAGGTCTTGGGACCAGGGTGCGTGCAGGACCTGCCTGACCCCTCAGAGGGGGTGAGGGGGCCCCTCTGGGCAGGTCAGGAGGGCGGCAGGGGACGCGGGCCCTTCACAGCAAAGGGCCTCCCCCGGGCAGCTCGCCTGGTGCCCTCGTGATGGCTTGTTGGCGCCGGGTGGAAACAGGGCCGATCTCCGGACATTTTAGTCATTGAATTTATACTGCTCGATGTTAAGACATATAGTTTTATATTGTTTAGTCTTAATGTACTATGTTGATCTATTTGTGTCTGGTTCCTGAGCTGCATATTGTATATTTTATTGTACACTGTTTCGGTATATTGTTATTATATGTTTATATGTTTTCATTATGATCTGTTGTTGTGACTGTTCCTTTGTAATCCCTTAGGAACCCTTGGGACTAATTAACTGGGGAATATAATTTGAATAGATAAATAATAATAATAAGGCAAAGTAATGCACACCACAGCAAAAAGTTAGGGGATGGGGTCGGAGCTCACAGTGCCGATCAGGGAAGGGACTTGGGGGTGAGGGGGGACAGCACCATGAAAGCGCCGGCCCAGCGGCAGCTGCTGTGCGGGAGGCGGAGGCGGAAAGGGACGGGAAGCGGAAGGGCTGCGATCGCACCCCTTTCCACACATCTTGGGTGCTGCGGCTTGCAGTTCCCGTCACCTGATCGCAGGCGGTGGCTGTGGGGGGCAAGGGAAATGGTCAGGGGGCTGGCGAGGCTCGGGGGGCTTATGCCAGAAAGGAGGCATGGGGCAGCTTCACTCGAGCGAGGTGCTCGGGAGACGCCTCCAGGGGACCGGACAGGACGCCGCACTCCTCACTCACTCGCACCCCCAGGGGGTCGCCCAGACAGGTGGGATTTGGGACGGGGGGTGCCAAGCTGGGCTCACTGCCACGAGAGGCAGGGATGGCCACCCATCCGGGGGCGTTAAAGGGGGACCGACCAGACCCTTTCACGGGGGAGGCCCAGCCCTCCATGGCCAGGTACAGCCCCCGGCATCTGGGCAGAATGCGGTCTGTGCACCGGCTGCTGGAGAGCATGGGCAAAAAACATAGAAACATAGAAACAGAGCGAGTCAGAAGGGGTCCCTCAGGCCATCTAATCTGACCCCCGGCTCCAGCAGTTCCACTCACGACATGCCCACCATGTGCATGTCCAGCCTGTCCTTGAACACCCGCACCAATAGGGCCTCAACCACCTCCCGTGGAAGCCCCTTCCACACCCTCAGGGTCCTGACTGTCAGGAGGATGCTGCTGTCCTGCTGCCCCACCTGCGGGCTTCCTGGGGGGTGAGTGGGGGGGCTGCCCTGGCCGGTCCATCCCAGGCCTCCCATGCGCAGGCACTCCCTGCTGTGGACCAGGTGGCTGCTTGCGTGGGCGGCTCGGCCGGCTGGCAAGTCGCCGCCCTCCCCCCGATGCCGGGAGAGTTTCTGCCCCCCCCCCGTGGGGCCTGCTGCCACCCCCACCCCGGCCGGCATCGCCTGCCCCAGGCCGGGGACCAGCTGCCCTCTCAGCACCTGCAGGGACTGGCCCAGGCCTGCTCCCGGCCTCTGCGTGCCGCCCCGCAGCAGACTTGCGCCCGTGCCCGTGGCTCCCGGCCGCTGCCAGCAGGCCCTCTCCTGCCTGCAGACGGGCAGGAATCCAGCGGTTGCCATGGAGAGGCGTGTGCCCGGGGCGGGCGGGGGGGGATTCCCTGGTGAGCACTGCGTGTCAGGGAGGCGGCCGTGACTCAGTGGCTGGTGGGTGCTTATGTGTACGACTCTCTTCCCCTTTTGCCCATGGGAACCGGGAGGCTGAGGATGGGATGGCTTCGGACCGTGGGATCAGCTGCCCATGAGAGGGCTGGGCTGATCCGCAGCCCTCCGCCTGCCCCCAGCCTGCCCCAGCTGCAGCGGGGCGCCGGGCGGCTTCCCGCAGCATCGTGTGCTCCTCACTGGCCTTCGCGCCCCACGTCCCGGCCCAGGCAGTGCGGCACGGAAGGCGGTGCCTGCCGGGACGTGGCCGCCGGTGACAAGGACGGGCTCGTGTCCCAGGCACCCGTCCCAGCCCAAACATAGCCAAGGAGGATCCGCCGATGCCGGGTGAGCTCATGCAGGAAACGGCTGTGGCAGAGTGACTGAGTCCATGAGCTGCTCGGCGAGGCAGCGGGACCGTCCGGGAGTGTTTCTCAACAGCCCAAACCCTGCAGCAGCGTCCGTGTCTCAGCCCCCAAAGCAAACACGCAGCAGCGCAAGCGCCACACAGAGCAGGCTGGCGTGTGCACTTGCTGCCCTCACGCGGGAAAGGTGCCCCGCCAAGGTGGCCGGGTGGCCTGCGTCTGGGCCAGGGGGCATTCCTTCCTGAGCACACCCCAGCGAGAGAGGCAGAAGACGGCGTGTGGGCTGCGGGGCCGTGGCAGCCACCAAATGCCAGGAGGAGCACGACCCCAAGCGCCCCCGAACGGAGGACGGACCGACTCACCGCCCTGCAAGCGTGGACGCAAAAGCGAGCGCCGGCATGGAGCATCCGCACAGTCCCGGGGGGCCGCATCCAGGCTGCCTGCGGGCAAGTGAGGCGGGGCCGGGCCCTCCCTCAGCCGGGCACACGGGCCTCCCTCCGAGTGCCGGCCGTCCCACCTTCCCCGCAGAAAGCCGTTTGGGGCCAGCTCGGCATTAGGAGCCGGGGCAGCTGCTGGCAGTGGAGGGCAGGGCTCTCCCGGGGTTCTCTCCCCTCCTGGCACCTGGGTTTTCCCCATGACACCTTGAAAATAAACACTGACACAGAGGGAAGCTTCACCCACTCCGTCTGGTCTGGGCCAGGGGAGGGAAAGCCCCATCGGGCCTGTTGCTACACAGGCCAGTGAGGCAACCGTTGGGGGGCGGGGGTGGTGGAGCTGCCTGCTCCCAGTGGGAGCGTCCCGGGAGCTCCCAGAGGTGGAGGCCCAGGAGCAGGTCGGGCCCGTGCTCTCGGGCAGTGGGTGAGTCCAGCACTAGCCCAGGGGCGGACCCGGGGCTGCCCGCAGCTTGTTTGCGGGCACGGAGCCCGGGCTTTCCTCACCTCGCCCGTACGTGTTGCACTCGCGCTCTTGCCAGACTGGCCGGGGGCGTGTCTTCTGGGCAGGGCTCCATCCCGCAGCCTCGGCTTCGCGCAGTCCCTGGGCAAGTGGGGCTCCTGGCACTGCTGGCCAGAAGCCCTGGGGGTCGCCTGGGTCCTCTCCTTCTTCCTGGGCTGTTCGTGGGGAGGACGGCAGTGGGGAAACGGGGGAAGGCCGCCAGCTGGAGGGGGACACGTCTGAAAAGGCCCCTTCCCCACCCCACGCACAGTTCCTTGACGAGACGGGGACGGGGTGGTAATGACCTCCTGGTCTGGGGGCAGCCACGCGACCGGACCCGGCTGTCCCCCAACAAGCTGCAGAGCAGGGTTTTGGGTGCGCGGAGGCCCATGGCCGCGTGGGCTGAGGGACCTGGATCCAGCTGGACATGCTACCAGGATCTGGCCCTGCCTCTTAGGGCCACCTTTCAGTGGGAATTGGAGGGTGAAGGCCTCCCCAGCAGTGGCCCCGGCGAAGGGTTTCTCTCCCACTGAAGCTTACAGGGCACCAGCCCAGTCGCCCTTTCGACTCCAGGTCAAGGCTGCCCTCTTCTGCTGGGCTTTCCGTGCGCTCGCCTGGGGGTGTGATGGGGCAGTTCTGTCCACTGCTTTTGACACGTGGAGCTTGTGCTAAAACCCTTTCATTGTTGAATCGTTTTCAGGTTTTGCGTACGGCAAGCACTGTAAGTAAGCTGTGCGCACACAGTTTCATGGTGTCTGTGCCTCGTGCGGCGCCTAATTCACCCGGGGCCACGCAGCCAGCTTTGGGTACCGGGAGGCACAGAGGGGAAATGGAGCACTGATGCCAGAGTGAGAGGAGGCTGCGCAGCAGAAATCGGGTCACCTGTGGGGGATGTGGGGCTGGGCCACTCTCTGTGAGCACGGTCAGGGCATCTGGCCCCATTTAGGTGGGGGAGGGTTAACTCAGCTAGGGGACGGCTCCCCCCCCGCCCCTGTCCAGGGCTGGTGCAGGCAAACCCTGAGCTTGGCAAACCCTTCAGTAACTGTACTGAAGGGTCCTCTCTGCCAGGACGAGCGGATGGGGCGCCACGGGGCTGCAGGGTTCACAAATGCCTCAGCAGGATGTGAGCTGGAGTGCGGGTGGGGGCTCTGCTGAGGATGGGCACCCAGACCCCCCCCCCCCCGCGCTGTTCCTCTGTGGATTTCACACTTCCTGCGGACTCGGTAAACAAAACATTGAGACAGCCCCAGGAAGTGGCGAGGCTCTGCCCCCCCCCCCCCCGCTCCGCATTTCTTCCCCTTCCAGCGATGTGGGCACTTCGCGGGTGCAGCTGACTCACCCCTTCCTGCCCCACTCGAGCGCATAAATGCGCCGGCTGGGACCGCTGCCGCAGACCGAGCCAGAGGCGTGAAGCACCGGCAGCTTCGCCCGCCTCGCCCGCCGCCGCGCCCCAGCGAACCTCTCGCCCGCCGCCGCCGCCGCCGCCGCCCGCCACTCGCCATGGGCCCGATCCGCCGGGCTCTCTGCCTCCTCGGCCTGCTGGCCCTGGGCTGCTCGTGGGCTGCGCCGCTGCAGGGCAACAGCCCCGTGGTCATCTCCTTCCCCGGGGAGATGGTCAGCCAGATGTCGGACTGGGAGCGAGCCCACGTAAGTTCGCGGGCGGTCTGGGCCGGGGACGCGCCGGGCTTCCTGCCCCGAGCCCCATAGCGCCGGGCCGGGCCGGGGCATGTGCCGCAAGGGAGCGCGGCAGGCCCCTGGCGCCGAGGGGCGTGCGAAGCGCGGGGCGGCAGCAGCCGGGACGGGAGGCAGCGGGCCGGAGGCTCCGCTCGCCCGCTCCCGCCCCGCTGCAAGCCCCTCCTGCCCCGCCACCGGGACTCCGCGCCGGGCTGCGCTCCGCCTGCTCCGAAGCCCCCGCAAAGCTGCGCTAAACCATAAGCCGCACTTGGCGTCCGGCACGTGTGAAGAGGCGCCCGCTTTCGCGAAGCAACAGGCGCAGCAGCTGAGCTTTCGTGCCCGCCAGCGGCGAGGCGAGGGCTGCGGAGCGGCGGAGTCTGGCGGGAAGGTGCCCCCCGTGCCAGAGGGACAGCGGCCCGCCGGTCTCTGCCGGCTGGCCGGCCGGCCGAGGTCTCCGCCGCGCAGGGCCTTCCCTCGAGACTCGGCGCGGCGGCGTCTCTCCTCGCAGCTTCTGAGGACATGCCAGGATTTTGACGTCCTCGCAGACCCAGCGCAGCGGGAGGCCGTTGCGAGCCCCGCGGGGCCCCTTGCGCGCCCAGGAGAAGCTCCGTGCCAGGCTGAGCTGGCGTGCCCCGAGGGGGAGCGCCTCCCCGCTCACCCCCGTCCAGTGGGGGCCGGATGGCCGGCGCTTTTCTCCCGCAGGTGCTCTGCGCGCACCAGGGCTGCCCACGTGCACGGGAAGAGTCCCCCCCCCCGGGCGAGGGGCGAACTGCACCCGCCCCGCCACAGTGAGCAGGGCCAGGAGCTGCGCGGCCGGCCGGTCCGTCTCCTGGGGGACCCGCTCACTGGCGCCTCCCTCCCCTCGCAGCGCTACCTGGAACGCTACGGCTACCTGAACGAGCCCGGCTCCGGCGTGGACGGCAAGCAGCGGAAGCTGGACTATTTCCTCAAGAAGATGCAGAAGCAGCTGGGCTTGCCAGAGACCGGGGAGCTGGACGCCCCCACCCTGGACGCCCTCCGGGCTCCCCGCTGCGGAGTCCCAGATGTGGGCTCGTTCCAGACGTTCCAGGGAGACCTCAAGTGGGACCACACTGACCTCACGTACCGGTGAGTGAGCCTGCCGGCTGCCTCAGCCACTGGCAGCTTCCTCACTGCCTCGGGGTCCACGGAGGCCGTGGCGGTGAGCAGATGCGTGGCCAGAGCCGGGCGCGGTGCTGCTCGTGGCCAGGTCAGTGGGGGCTGCGGGACGCGAAGGTCCAGTCGGGCTGGACAGCCCAGGCAAGGGATTGGCACCCCGCTGCCCTCCGGCTGCAGACCGCAATTCCCATCAGCCCAGCCACTGTGACCGGCCACTTGTGGCTCACTCTTGGCACTGACTGAACGGTGGAAGGAAGGCTGGTCTGCTCCCCCCCCACAGGCAGAGCGGTCGGGGGGGAGGGGGGCTCTGGGTCCTGCCAGTCGACTCCGGGGCCCCTGATGCACCGTGGCTGCTGGTGGGGGTGCTGTCCTCACTGCCCCCTCCCCTCCGCTCCCCTCACTCCAGCGTGGTGAATTACTCACCCGACCTGGACACGTCCATCACCGACGACGCCTTTGCCCGAGCCTTCAAGGTGTGGAGCAATGTGACCCCGCTCACCTTCACCAAGCGGCAGAGCGGCGAGGTGGACATCCTCATCCAGTTCGGAACGGGGGGTGAGTGCTCCCCGGGGGAGGCCGAGGGGGGGCCGTGGGGCGGGAAGAGGCCGGCTGGCAGAGAGGAGGATGCGGCCAGGGGCCCCGTGAGGACAGAGGGGCCCGAGCACAGATGGCTCTGCCGCCCCGGACCTCTCTCAAGTCCGTGTAAGCAGCGAGGGCTCCCAACGTGTGTTCCCCCGTCCCCCAGAACATGGCGACGGCTACCCCTTCGACGGCAAGGACGGCCTCCTGGCCCACGCCTTCCCTCCGGGCAAGGACACCTACAGCGGAGACGCCCATTTCGACGACGATGAGTTCTGGACATTGGGCACCGGGATTGGTGAGTTGGCCCGCTCTCCCACTGGCCGCTTGCCCGCTTTCCCTGGACCCCCCCAGCCCCAGCCCCAGCCCCCGCCCATCCCATCTCCTCTTTTCCCGGGCAGTGGTGAAAAGCTACGGCGGGAACTCCGACGGGGCCACCTGCCACTTCCCCTTCGTCTTCGAGGGACAAGCCTATTCCACCTGTACGACGGACGGCCGGACGGACGGCGTGCCCTGGTGTGCCACCACCGCCAGCTTCGACCAGGACAAGCGCTACGGCTTCTGCCCCAGTGAACGTGAGTGGCGGGGGGGCCACGACCGGGCCCCCGGTGGGGGGAGCGGAGCCCGAGGGAGCCCGGCAGAGGTGCCCCTGGCCAGTCCAGGGGGTCCCAAGGGAAGGGGAGCTGTGCCCAGCGATCTGTGCCCCTCCACCTTTCAGGCCTGCCCCTCTGCTCGTTGGAGGCAGGGTGGGGGGCCAAGGGGAAGGAGTACCCCGCTGGCTTGCCGCCGACTGTGGGGAGCACTTCCCTGGCTGAGGAGCCTCCAGAGGTGCTGTGCTCTCCCGGGAAGGGGCTTGGGCCTTCGGGGTGAGGCAGCGGGCAGGGAGCAACACCAGCCAGCAGCCGGCAAGCGGCTGGGGCAGCACGGGGGCTCTGGCACTGAGCGCTTCCTCTTCGGAGCAGCGTGTTCTCGCTCTGGTGCAGCCCTTTGGTCAGATGCAGATGCTGGTAGTCATTCACGGGGAAATTGGCTTGCTATCATGAGGACCAGCAGCTTGATCTTTTTAGAAAAGGAGATAGGGTTGCTTAGCAACCCGTGTATCCCAGCCCCTCATTAATCCCAGGACAGATGGATCCCACATGGGGTGGTGAACTCCCCCCACCGACCCTGGCAGCCCCAGAGCGGGGAGCGCCAGGGCCACGTGGCCCCCCACGGCCCCCTGCTGCCCCCCCCCCCACGGCCCTCCTTTTCCGTCTTCTGCTAGTTCTCTTCACGTACGGAGGGAATGGCGGGGGTGAGAAGTGCGTCTTCCCCTTCGTCTTCCTGGGCAAGTCCTACGATGCCTGCACCACCGAGGGGCGCCAGGACGGCTACCGCTGGTGCGCCACCACCGCCAACTTTGACCAAGACAAGAAGTACGGCTTCTGCCCCAACAGAGGTACGGACATGGCTGGGGCTGGGTGTGCCCCACGGCCACCTTCGGGGACTGGCCGGGCTGCTGCAGAGCTGCCGGCCTGCCCCGTGTGGCGGCCTGGGGGGCGTGGGAGGCGGGCCAGCCACCTCCGGGGCGGGTGCCCACGGCCTCCCTCCCTCCCTCCCGACAGACACGGCGGTGATCGGCGGCAACTCCCAGGGCGAGCCGTGCGTCTTCCCCTTCACCTTCCTGGGCCAGCGGTACTCGGCCTGCACCTCCGAGGGGCGCCAGGACGGGCGGCTCTGGTGCGCCACCACCAGCAACTACGACGTGGACAAGAAGTGGGGCCTTTGCCCCGACAAAGGTAAGCCCGGCGTCCGGAAGGGCCCCCGCCTCCCCGAGGGAGCCCTGCGGGTGGCTGGCGGGGCGGGCAGGCCGCTGAGGAGGCAGTGGGGCAGTTGCCCGGGGGGACGCCCCACCGGCCACCCAGCAGCGCTTTCCCGCCCTCCAGGCTACAGCCTCTTCCTGGTGGCCGCGCACGAGTTCGGCCACTCGCTGGGCCTGGAGCACTCCAGCGTGCGCGAGGCCCTCATGTACCCCATGTACACCTACGAGGCCGACTTCCACCTCCACCCGGACGACGTGGCCGGCATCCAGTTCCTCTACGGTGAGTGGGCGCTGCGTGGGGCGGGGGCTCCCGGTTGCGGAGGCCCGCGAGGGGTGTGCCCCTGAGCGATGGCGAGGAGGCCCCCGGGGGCCCGGCCGGCTTGGCACTCCTCCTGCTCCTCGGAGCCCCGCGTGGCCATGGGTGCCGGCGCGTCTCCAGACAGACAGACACCTGACGCAGCCGGTGCCCCCGCCCACTAGGCAAAGGGTCTGCTCCTGAGCCCACCGTGCCCAGCTGGCCCACCCAAAGCCCCGACGTGCCCGAGGAGCCCACCACGGAAGCGGACGGGAGCACCACCACAGAGGACTACGGCTCCGCGGCCACGGGGAGCACCCCCGTGGACCACCCCACGGATGCCTGCAGTGCGGGCTGGTACAACGCCGTGGCGGAGATCAAGACGGAGCTGTACCTCTTCAAGGACGGGTGAGCCGCCGTGCAGAGGGGGCCGGGCGGGGGCTGCTTGCGGAGGAGCCGTGCGGATCCGCGGGCCAGGCGCTTTCACGCTCGGCCTGGGAATGGGGCGAGGGAGGGAGAAGGGCCGGCCCGCCCCGCCCCGCCCCTTGGCCCACCACCCTCCCCGGGCAGCTGGAAGGGGCTGAGAGAAGCCCACTCCGCCCCACCTTTCCCACCCCTGGTCCTCCGGGTGTTTCAAGGTGGCCTTAGCTGAGAGAGCTGGTCCCCCCCCCCCGTTCCTGTGCTGCCCTCAGGCAATACTGGCGGAAGCCGTCCGCCGGAGCCGCTCGCATCCAGGGGCCGCTGCGGATACGGGACACCTGGCCGGCTCTCCCGGACCTGATTGACGCGGCCTTCCAGGACCCGCTGACGAAGAAGCTGTTCTTCTTCTCCGGTGAGGGGCCCCCTTTGCAAAGCATGGCGGATTCACCCGCAGTTGCTGCACTGAATTATTAACTGATTGACTGCGTGGCCGGCCGGCCGGCCAGTGCTAGAAGACCACGCAAAATGTTTTGAATCCCCCCAGACTCTCCCTCAGGCTGAATTGGGAGGGGGGAGCGGGGAGGGGAGGGGGGAGGGTCCCCCACACGAGGTCTTAGGTTTGGTTTGGCTTCAGGCTTCCGTTCGCAATGGCAAAGGCGCCACTGATGAGTGAAATTAGAAAAGGGCCCCAGGAGGATTTGCAGGCCGAGTTCCAGGACGGACGCGGGGCTTCCCTGGAGTGAGACACAAGCAAGAGATTTCAGCGCCAAAGGCCGCTACGACCTGCAAGACCGAGTCTTGCCAGGGTGCCGCCTTTGTGTGGCAAACCCTCCCCACTGCAGCAGGCTATGCCAAGCGCTCACAACCCCCGGAAGGCCCCGCAGGAAGCCCTGTGGGCGGCCCCCGTGGCCTGGCTCGAGCCCGGCACGGCAGCTCGGGGGCCCGCCTGCTACGGAAGGGGGCGCGTGGGCCCGGGCACGGGGTGGCACCGCAGGCGCGTGACGGAGTGTGTCCTGCAGGCCGGCGCTTCTGGACATACCGCGGGACGAGAGCCTTGGGCCCCCGCAGCATTGAGAAGCTGGGCATCGGCGGAGACGTGCAGAAGGTCACGGGCGCCCTGCGGAGGAAGAACGGGAAAGTGCTGCTGTTCAGCGGGGAGCAGTTCTGGAGGTGCTGAGAGGCCCGGGCCGGGGGAGCAACCGCAGACCCTCCCGGCTGGGCACTGGGCGCAGGTCTCCATCGGCCGCCGGCAGCGTGCCGAAGGCGTGTGGGGAAGAAAGAGCCACAGCAGGCGTGGGGCGGTCAGTGGCGGGAGGCCAGCACCTCCCAGGGCGCTCAGCCTGCCTGCTGGACTTGGGGCCACATAGCCCTCAGGGGCCCACGGCCTGGGAAAGCGAGGGGGACCCCACGCCACTCGGGAGCAGCCCGTCCCGCAAGCGGTCCCCACGGCATCCAAGCGACGTCCCGAGGCCCCAGAGGGGCAGCGGCGATTGCTCACGCCGGGCCCGAGGAGCCCCTCCGGAGGCCCCAGAGCTGGAACTGCTGGGGGGGCACCTGTGGAGTGGCTCCTAACCTGGGGGGGAGCAGGTGCCTGCCGAGCACACGAGTCCCGCTCACACCCGCTTCCCCCTTAGGCTGGATGTGAAGGCGGAGCGGGTGGACCGGGGGTACCCGCGGCACACAGACAGCCTCTTTGCCGGGGTCCCTCTCGACGCGCAGAACATCTTCCTGTACAAAGGTGAGGAGCTGGGGCGGCCCGCAGCCACGTCCGGCCAGCCTCCCGCCGTCCCGCTCAAGGCAGGACTGGCCCGCGCCTGCTTCCCACCGCGCTGCTGCCCGGCCGCCGGATCGGGGAAAGGGGAGCCCTGGCGTGCTTCTCTGGCTGCGCCAAGCCTGCGGGAGGCCCTGGTACAGAGCCGTCTCTGCCTCACCTGGCAAGAGGGCTGAGCGGGGCGGGGGGGTGGGGGTGGCACCTCTCCTGCAAAGGGCTCTGGGGGTCCAGGCCTCCCCCGCAGCCCAGGCGTGCTGCTTGGTAACAGCGTTGCCCCCCCCGTCCCGTCCCAGGCAAATACTACTTCTGCCGGGACCCCTTCTGCTGGCGAATGACCCCACAGTACCAAGTGGACAAGGTGGGCTACCTGAAGTATGACGTCCTGCAGTGTCCCGAGCAGTAGGGCCCGCTGGGCACCATCGGGCCACCTGCGCCGGCCACCTCGCTCCGAGCAGGGCTGGCCACCCCGCCCCGAGGCGCCACCAGCCCGAGCAAGGGGCCCGCCCCACGGGGCCGAGCCGGCCGTCCGACTGTGGCCCGGCCATCTGCGGGGCGTGCTGCGAGGACCCCCGGACCAGCAGGGAGGAGGAGGCCCCGCCACGCACGGCCGGGTCCCTGCAGCTGCCGACGCCACGCCAGGCCACGCCGTGCCTCCGCCGGCGCCACGTTCTGCTCGCGAGGCGGCTCTCACGTGTTGCGCACGCGTGTAATAAATTGGATCCCGGCCCACTTGGAGTGTCTTGCTTATTCGCCAAGGGGCTCACTAGGCGGGAGCAAAGCCAGGCCAGGCTGCCTGCTGGGTCGGCCCCCAACAGCCTCAAGGGGGGAGGCGGCTTGTCCTGCAGGGGGGGGGGCCTGCCGGGTCGGCCCCCAACAGCCTCAAGGGGGAGACGGCTAGTCCTGCCGGGGGGGGCATGCTGGGTTGGCCCCCAACAGCCTCAAGGGGAGGCGGCTTGTCCTGCCGGGGGGGGCGTGCTGGGTCGGCCCCCACAGCCTCGAGGGGGAGGTGGCTTGTCCTGCCGTGCTGGGTCGGCCCCACCTGGCCAGCCTTCTGCTGCAGCGGTCTAACTCAGGGCGCTGCGAGGACGGGCACTGTGGCTGCAGCCAGCTGGCTCCCCACGCGAGTGTCGCGCATCACAGCCGAGCTGGCCCTCCGCACTGCCCCACGCTGGGCGGCACCCCCGGGCTGGCGTCCCCCACCACTCCCAGCACTGACAAGAAGGACCTGCCCCACTGACTAGGCGGGGCGTGTGGGATCCAGCCTGTTCTGGAGGGGGCGGTGCCGCCAAGGGGCCGGATGGCTCCTTCACCGCGGGCAGAGTACTGGCTCGGGAGTGCCTGGGTGCCGCGGGGAGACCGTTGTGCGCAGCGGTGGGGGGCAGGTTCCAGGCTCCCCGGCCTCTGGCGCCGCCCAGGGGCCCTTGGGCTGGGTCCTCGCTTCCAGCCCAAGCAGCAGCCAGGCTCCTGGGGGGAGGGCTCAGGGGAACACTGTGTGAACTGCCCCAGGGCCCCCGCAGGGGGAAGCCGGCAGCTAATGCAGTAACGACATTCAGATCGCTTATCGCCGAAGCCCAAAACTCTGCAGGGCCCGGGGGCTCGCAAGCCTTCCCCCATCAGACTGTGCGGTGCAGGTGACTGCCTCCCCCCTCCCGCCCAGCCCCGTAAAGGCCCTGCTGCTGAGCCCCGGCCTGGAGGGCTGCGCGTTGGTCTCCCGTGCAGCAAAGCCAGAGGAAGGTCCGGGCCGCGTGCTGCGGGCAGGGCACTGGGGGGGGGGGGGGGGCTCCGCGCGGGGAGCTGGCCAGGGTGCTGACGGGCTTGCCCGCGAGGGACGCCGGAACAGCCCGGACCGACCGCGGGCCCGCGCTCTCCCGGGGACTGGCTGCGCGGCCGGCGGAAGGTCTGTGGCTGCTCCCGCCAGCAGGAAGAGCGAGGGGATGCTCGGGCCGCCGCCGCAAACTCGAGCGCCGTTCGCGGGTCAGGCTGGCGCATCTGTGCCACCGCAGAGCGGCTTCCCTTGGCCACACTTCCTGCGGCTCAGGCGGTCCTTTGCCAGGGCAGCCATCAGGATTCCGGGGCACCCCAAATGGCAGTGCAGGATCGCAGCCAGGGGTCCTGCTGGCCCTGGCCTTGAACCCGGGCACCCCACAGGGCTCCGCGGTGGCTGGAGTGCGTTCCCACGGGCGGACTAGAGCCAGAGACCCCCCCTTCTGCTCCTGGCCTCTTTCGGGGCACTCGGAGCAATAGTTGCTCCCCCAAACGCCCTCCACTGTCTGGGCCCAGGCCACCTCCGCGCCTTGCGAGATGGCGAGCAGCCCGCTTCGGGAAGTTCAGCAGCGCCCCCTCCCCGCCCGGCCAGGCCCGCAGCTCCTCTCGGTCGCCGGGCCCCCAGCAGGAGGGCAGAGCCGCTCCTGGCCCGGCGCGCTGCGCTGCGGCTGCAGGTGCGTTGGGGCGCGGCTGGTTTCGCGAGGCCAAGGCGGCTGCCGGGCTTCCCTGCCGACCGAGTTTCGCTCGGGACCGGGCTGCCCCGAGTGCCCCCGGAGGGCGGGAGCAAAGCGTCCCGAAGCGAGGGCTGTGCTCCTGGCTCCGGCCTCCCCGGGACCCCGTCTCCGGGCAGGCGGGGGCGGCTGCTGGAGGCCTCGCCCTTGCTGGCCGGCGCCCAGGCGCTTCCGCGGGACGGCCGGCGCCAGCTCGCGGCCGGTGTCGGATCCCGCGCCCTCGTGCTGCGTTCCGGGGCGCCGCGCGCTGGCGGCGGCGCTTCCGACGTGCTGACTTGGCATCGACCCCGCCATCTGCCTCGATCGATGTGGAGCGGAAGGGCACGCAGTCCGGGGGCGCCGGAGCGAGTCCCGGCAGACCGCGGCCCGTGACGGGCGGCGCGCGGCCGGCGAAGCCTCCCTGCGCGCTCTGCTCTGCGGCTGCACCGCCTCTGCCGGCGCGCCGGTCGGCGGCCTGCGCGAACCCGGAGGCTCTAGGACGGCGCGGCGCCCGGGCGAGCCTCGGACGCCGCCGGGGAGGCAGCAGGCGCGGCGCCCGGGCAGCCGCCCACTTGTGGCGGGCAGCGAGCGAGGGGCGAGCGAGCCGCAGGGCGGCCATGAGCCGCCGCTTCACGGTCACCGCCGGCGAGGAGCCGCGGCCGGCGGCGGCGGCGGCGGCGGCTGCGGCGAGAGGAGGCGGCGGCGGCGGCAACGCGCAAGGTAAGGAAGGGCGCGGCGCGGCTGCGGGGCGGCGGGAGCACGGGCGGGGCGCGGAACGGGGGCTCTCGGTTGCCGCCGCGGCCCCGCCATCTGCCTGGCCTGCTCCTCCTTGGCCGCGGGCGGGCGAGCTGCTGCGGGGGCGGGTCGTGGGGCGCCCGCCCTTGTCGCCGGCGCGGAGCGGCAGCCTTTCCCGGGCGCGGGACGGGGGCAGCGGCCCTCGCCGCTCGCAGGCGCGCTTCAGTGCGCGGCGGCCGCCGGCGGAGCAGCGCCCGCTGGCGCCGCGCTCCGCACCCCGAAGTCGCACAGGTGAGCGCCGCGGGGCTGCCGGACGAGTCGCTGCGCGCCCGCAGAGCCCGAGGGCCATTCATTGTCCCGGCGGGGGACGCGGGGAGGCCACGGCTCCCCCCGGCCTGGCGTCGCTCCCCGCGCCGGGAGCCTCCGGGCGCGCCACGCCCCCTCTCGGGCCGGCCTGCTCGTCCCCGCCGCCTGCAGCCCCTTCCCGTGCGGCCCAGGCAGCCTGGCCGCAGCCGCCTCGCTCTTGCTTGTCCGCCCCCCCCGCCCCCCCCGCGCGGCGCTTCTGGCTCCCCTTACCGGAGGAGCACCGAGCGGGAAACCTCACCCGGGCGGCGCCCGCACCCCCCCCCCCCGCCGCTTCTCGGAGGGGGCCGGGGCTGCCAGGCCGGTGCGGGGAGAGCCCCGGCTGCTCGGGGGCTTTGTGGCGGAGGGCTGGGCTCGTGCGTTCTTCGGTGCGCGTGGGGGGGCGCGTAAGGCGGGGGTCTGGAAGAAGAGGCCCCAGCTCAGACCACGAGCAGGTTGGAGCCATGTCCTCTGACCAGCGGTCTTTATTGGTCATGGAAGTGCACTCTGCATGAGCTCAGATGCACCCTTCCATATTTCATGCTCCTTTACCATGGGCAAGCAGATGCTGAACTGAGGTCTGGGGACTTCAGCTGCAGGCCCAGGCCCCAGCCCGGCAGCGGGCTGCGCCATCCAGCCCCGCGTCTGCCCAGGCTGCCTCCCGCCGGAGCAGGACTGCCGCGGGCTGCCTTGAGAAGGCCATGCTGAAGGTGAGGCGGCAGCGCAAGGGCGAATCTGGGAGCTCGGGTTCCCACGCCGGCTGCCACGTGCCCTTCCACAGGGACGGCTCGGGGCACCGCACGCCTGGCCTGCAGCCCAGAGGCCTCTCCAGCCCAGCTCAGGAGACGGCCCAAGGGGGAGCCCGCGAGGAGGCCGGAGCTCCCAGCCCAGGAGCTGGAATGGGGGCCTCTGCTCCTAGCAGCGGTCCAGGCCGCCAGGAGCCTCGTCTGGCAGGGATGAGCCTGGGCACTTGGCCTGACCCTGTTGCGGGGTTCCTCGAGGAAGCTGGCTCCGTTCCGCAGGGTTCCTGCCATCCTGCCCTCCCCGCCCCGCTCCTGAACGCTCAGCTGCAGGCAGGTGTGGGCACGAGGGCGGGCTGCGTGCTGGCCCTCCCCCTTCCAATCAGGCCCCGGTGAACCCCTTCGTTTCCATGGGTTTTCTGGGCCGAGCCTTCCTCACGCCGCTCTCTTGGGCTCAGGGCACTGGCACGCGCCTCATCTCTGAAGAAGCCCCTTTCATTTTCTGGAAGTTGCCTGTGAGCCCCGTCTATGAAAGCCTGTACCCCACCCCAGCCTGAGTGTGGTGTTGCTGAGTGGAGACAGCCCGGGGCGCCGAGGTGGCAAAGGGAGCCAGGGGGGCCGGGCTGGGGGCTCCCCGTGCGAGTCACTGGGAGAGGCAGAAAGGCCGGGAAGGCCCTGTGGGAAGCCAAGGGGAGTGCGGAGGAGCCCACCGCCCCCGCCCTTCTGCAGCAGCAGTGCGCTGGGGGCCTCTCATGCCACACCCCAAGGTGGGGGCCACTTTGTGCAGGCCAGGAGACCAGGTGGGGCATCTCTGCGACTGCCTCCCTCCCAGGCGTGTGGGTCGGCTGCCAGGATTCATTTGCTCAGGCCTGGGCTGAGCCGGAGCCGCTCTCTGTTCCTGCCCTGGAGGCTCCTGCTGCGCCGCTGCCAGTCTGGGACACAGAATCATGGAATAGTAGAGTTGGAAGGAGCCATGGGGGCCATCGGGTCCACCCCCTGCTGTTGCAGGACGCCATGTTACACCATCCCACTCTGATGGCCGCCCAGTTTCGCCTTGAATGCCTCCAGTGTGGGAGGCCCCACCACCTCTCTGGGCAGCTGGTTCCACTGCCGTGTTGCCCTGACCGTGAGGAAGCTTTTCCTGATGTCCAGCCTGAATCTGGGTTGTCCCAACTGAACTGATTATTCCATGTCCTGCACTCTGGCATCAGCGAGAAGAGAGAGATCTTGACCTCCCTCTTTGGGACAGCCTTGGAGGGACTTACAGAGGGACACCATGTCCTGCCTCAATCTCCTCTTCCCAAGGCTGAGCTGCCCAGTTCTGAGGGATGCGGGGCAGGGGGGTCTTGAGACACGTTCCCTGATGGCAGTCTCTGCCGCTGCTTGACTGTGGTGGGGCTCAGCGGCCCCTTCCTTCAGCCAGGTGCTGGTGGGGGGG